TTTCCAAAGGGGCTGCTTATTTCACTCCTGCACTTCACAGCTCCGATCCGATTTTGCACTGCCTGGGTAATAAGCATTTTCCTATGTTTTGGTAAAGCTAGACTGGCAAGCAAGTTCCTGCCTTTGGATTAAATAGAGACTTAGTGATGCTGCATAGTTTTGTGGACCAAGTCTTGCACTCTAGACCTACCTCCCAAGGCTCTCCCCTCCACCTGCCATGATCCGCCTGTCTCCATCATGTCCTGGTGAGGACCAATAACATAAAAAGTCAGTTAAGTTGTTATAATCGTTAGTCAGTATCCATGATTCTCTACTCCCAAGTATCTCTCCTGGATACAAAACTGTGATTCATACATAATATAGGAAACAACTTTTCATGCCAGATTTATGCTACCAGCACGATCTATTCTCCCTGCTGAGCCTTGCTTCACTTGTGACTAACGTGTTTTGAGACCAGCATATATTTTGAACCCACATGGAACTGGTTTTTAAAAATTATGTAATACTTTCACAGATTTATGAACAGTTCTAAATGACAAGAGAGAGGGTGATTGAGATGAGGAATAGCTAGAGATTCTGGAAACAAGCTAATCACGAGGCATGCCTGATAAGCTAACACAAGGAATATATCCTTTATGGTGAAAGTTATATGGAGTATAGACAGATTGTTTTGGCAAAAATATGGAAGTTATACTGGAGCAAAATGAGACTTGAGACAGGAGAATAAAAACAGTTAACAAGCTATAACAATAACTAGTGGAAAAAATGGTGAAGGCCTTTATAGGGTAAAGGCAGTAGGAATGGAGATGAGGGGATGGTTATAACGAAATACTAGGTAGGAAGTAGAATTAGTAGGACTTAGTGACTAATGGGATGTGGGTGATGAGGAAGAGGGAAGAGTCAAGGATAAAACCCAAATTTTGGTTTGAGTAATAAAGCATCAGTGGTACCATCCACATGTACATAAATAAAGGGAACTAAGCAATTTGGATGAGGCTCTACCTGATTTGAATTTGAGTATGAGGAACCTGTGAAATGAAATGTTCAGTGCATGACTGAATGCATGTACCTGGAGTGCCAAAGATGCGTAGATTGGAGATAGACATTTGGGAGTAATCGGTGGAATGTGTTATAGCTGAAATCCTGTGTGAATGAGATTACTGAAAGCAGGTGCTCGAGAAGGAATATGAGAAAATCCAAAATATAAAGAAAGAGCTGGCAAAACACACTATGAATGTCCAGAAAAATAGCAGAAAAATCAGGAATAGTACTTACAGAAGCCCAAAAGGAGAAAATAAAGGAAGTAGTTCGTAAATGCTCTAGAGATCAAATGTCTCTTTATTTGGCAATATGGAGGTCACGGGTGATTTAGTAAGAACATTGTCAGTGGAGAGCTGAGTAGAACCAGATTGCTATGGATACAAGATATAATAGAAGCTGAGAAATTGGAGGCTGAGTACAGAACACACACTTTCAAATAACCTCACTGTAAGAAAAAAATAAGATCTGATGTAAAATTGTGGGAGGATTTCTTTACTACTAAAAGGCCTTGAAAATGTTCATGCTGTATCCTGAGGGAAAAGTGCCAGTAGAGACAATGAAGATAACAAATTGATCAAATTGATAGAATTACAAAACATTTTTTAAAAAAAGGAATTTGGGGTTAAGAGCTGAGTTTGAGACCCAATTTCTTAGAGATAACTTTGTCATTTTGGTAAAGTTATACCTGTTTTCTTCATTCATAAAACTATGTCTACCATAAAAGGTGGCTGAGCAGATTCAATGTAATCAGTATATAGAAGTGCTTACCGCAGTGCTAGAACCTAGTGAAAAATAAGTAATAGCCATTGTCATTTTTATTGTTATTAAGTTGTTTCATGGGGAAAAAGGAATCCAAAGGTTAGCTGTTATAAAGAATACCTCTTCTAATTAGATAGGAGAGAACATGTATAAATACACATGGAAGAAGGGCATGGATGTGGATTACAAATTAAAATCTGCACACCCTGTAGTTTTCCTTACCAATGCCCAAGTGTGTAGAAAAATTACATATATGGACTTTGAAGAGTCTAGAAATATCTATCATAAAATGCCATTAAAATGGCATCCATCTGAAATTCTATATATAAACAAAATGATTTGTCTAGTGAAAATTCGTTGTGCTATTCATATTCCAAGTCATAAGACAAAGGTTTTTTTGTTTTTGTTTTTGTTTTCAAAAATTGTTTAGAGTATCATTAACATCCAGTATTGTGTCCAACGTGTTCTGAGATGAGAAGGATAACTCAAATGACCCGCTGCAAGATTAAATTGCTTTGAAGTCTGTAGTTTATATTAAAAATTAATGTTAAAAGAAAAAAGAAAAAAAGGTACCCAGACACCAGGTTAAAAGAAAAAATTAATGTAAATTTGATTCATCAATACATTGGTATGTGTTTTAATATAAAAAATACTTTCGAACTTAAAGAAAAGTTTACTTGGCACTGAGTGAACGCTGCTTGTCTAGGAAGATAAGCCATATTTCTCACTTATCCCTGGCACATTGCTAAAAATCTTTAAGATAAATCAATGTCTTTTAGGCTAGACCAAACGAAAACAAAAGATTACTAAAACTGTCTACTTCTATTTTAAGTTCAAACTTATAAAATGTTATGAGGTCATCATACAAGAGGACCGGTCAACTTCATTTTTTAAAATCAAAATGGCTTTTAGGTATTGAATATTTCAAAATAAAAAAACCTTATGGGTAGCCCAGAGTTTCCAATTTTAAATCAACTTTGGTCTAAGTAATAACATTTCCTAATAAACATAAATGTAAATTATCAACAGAATGGTTGGTAAAAACACTGCTTAAACTTCATTGTTTTATATTGTTAAAATGTGTTATAATTAGTGAACAGGTAAAATAGTATAAAAAAGGAGGTATCTGTAGTTTCCCTAGCTTGTCCTTAACCTGCTTGTTTATAGGCCTATTTTACTGACCTTACAATTTAGTTGTCACTGATATGCACAGCTAAATTCCTTCTTTGTTCGTCAGACTTTTAATAATTTCTATTTGTGATAAATCTTTAATCTGTCTAGATTTAATAGTGAGGAAATGAATGATTCAATCTTAATGATATTGGAGTCATGATGGAAATGGACTCAACCCACAAAAAGCCATTTTTTGGGCAACATCAGCTATGTTTTCATGCAAACCAGTTCTGAAACGGTTTTTCCTTCCCTAACTTTAACACTTACTAGTCTTAACTACAAATTTGAGATTTTTTTCCTTTTACGGATTCTGTAAGTTTTTACTAAATTACTTGCTTAATGAAGATCCTGAAATAGCATCAATTTAAGTAGAACTGTAAAGAAACTGTAGTAATTTACAATCAAGTTATTCCAATTTCTCTTTAGAATTCTAAATTTATTCACTCAGTCCAAAATATTTATTAAATGCTTCTCATTATGGACAAGGCACTCTTCTCACTAATTGTGTACCAGAAATACCAATACGTGTAAGCCTCTGCCTAAAAAGAGGTGACAGTCTAATAGTTTCCAATACAGGAGACATTCAAAAGTACTGACAGATCTAACTTCTTTGAGCATTTACTGTCAAATATATCTAACTGCATTCTTAAAATTAAATCATTTTCCTCTGGCATACATTATATTAACTATCATCACTTGTGGGAAAGTAATGTAAATATTACTTTAAAATAGACTAAGTTCTCAATCTGAATACATATAAAAAAGCAGTACCCAAAAGAGTAAATATGTTTAAGCCCCAAATTATAACACATCCAGTTACAAATGGATTCTAATGAAGATTTTACTGAAAACAAAAATCTACCCAATAATACATTAAATATAAGTGCATTTTAAGAATTTAATTTTTTTAAAGCATAACTGGTCACAAGAATAACCTTCTGAAATGCATCTTTTCCATAAAACTTGAGTTTATTAAGAGCAAGATAGAATTCTATGGAAATATATCCCCAAGTTTCCTAGGGAGGAATAGATTAGATCAGAGCAAACTAAAAAATGTTTTTAAAAATGACAGCATAACTGAAAAGTCATGGGGAGAGAAAGAGCTTGGCTCCTTATTTACTTTGCAACAGTGTGTACACTATTTAAAAGATGTTTTAGAGGTTAGTACTTTTGTGGTTTTAGCAAGGTATCACACGAGGAACAAACATTAAATCAAATAATGCTGAAAATACTTCCATGCTACCTCTTTTTAGTAGGATGGTAAAGTTTTGCCCTAAAATAATTCCTTTCATTCCAAGCAACTCTTTCTTAAATATAACAGCCATAAACAAATTAGTCTCATTGTCAGACCTATTTTTTAATCTTTAGGTGAAAGTAACCAATTACTTTATCTTCTTACAGTATTCCTTTTCTAAATCCTTAGTTATTGTTTTTTAAATGTCAGCTTTGTGACACCATCCCAAAGAGTCATTTGTAGTTTTTTGTTTGTTTGGGTAGGAGAATTCACCAAAGTGGATATTCTATAAATTCTGGTTAATAAATTTGTTCAAGTCACATTCTTGGCCCAAAGACCTTTTTTGGTTTTACCTTCACAGAAAATATGTATCAAAAAGTTAGGTTTGTGGCTGTCAAACGGTCAGCTGTTTTTATAATTTTTAGTACCACCTTAATAGTACCTTATAAAGATTGCAGAATATACTGTTATTTCTGGCTTTGTTACAGTGAAGAAATAATGCTTTAGTTAAAGCTAACTTGCTCACAAATCACTAAAAAATTTAAAAAGAGATTCTACTTAACATTAACTTTTTTGAAGCTAAACTCATAATTTTAACATTTGGCTTTTCTACTACACTACTGCTGAACAGAACAATAATGAAACACTATACTATTTTATTTGGACAATGCTAATATAAATCCTTAACCTATACTGGAAACTTTCAAACATGAACTCTAAAACATGGACATTTTTAATGACTACTACTTTCAATATACTAGAATATTCAATATTTGCACATTAAATGAAAAACATTTTTAACAAAATTTTATTCAGAGCATTAGGAAAATCATATTCAAACCATAGAAACAGACTATAACAATGCTGCATAGATAGTGGTATACAAGTTCCCTGACTCTAAGTAACTTCTTCCTAACCTAAAACTTCAATTTTCAAGTCACCAGGTAGAAAATGGTGGAGGCATTATTTCCTCTCTCTGAGGCTAGAAAAAATGGCTTCAATGGTGAGAAGTCAAACCATTTAAACAATGAAGATTAGATTATCCCCCAATTTAATTCTATTCCCCTCTTGTTATTTCTCATAGATGAAAATTTAGAATGTAATAATTATTGGAAGGAAATAAGAAGTGAATTACCTCTTAGGAGATACCCTGATCAGTGCTTGCTTTAATCAGACAAAACACTGAATTAAGTTTTAAAAATTACAACCACACTATTATGCTTAACTAAAATTGCCAATATGAATACTTTTTTACGTAATACATTACACATATACAAGAAAAGAAATGACCTATTTCCTATCCTTTGACCTTCAGTAGAAAAAAAATGTTATCACTAACAAGGATCAGAAAAATAATTTTCATGGTGGAGCATTAGCTCAATAGGAATCAAAATCTTTTCTGAATATTTAAAACAGACTGAGTCAGTCAATGAGAAATTGCTAAATTTCTTCTATGAGAGTACCTTTTCACAAAGGGAAGACAATTTATTGGAAGAAATTTGTAGCTGAAAACATTGTTCATTAAGAAAACATTAAGTTACCCTGAGAAAGACTCTTAATATTACCAGTGTTTTCAGGGCCCCCAATCAATTCAAGAAAGAGCAACTTGTAGGCTCTAGCCTTTTAACAATGCCCACATAAAGAATGATTTGATCTAAAATGTAATTAGGGTTCTCTGCTACACTGGTAGAAGGTCACAACCAAGACATCCGAATGTGATGGAGTATAAGCAAATTTTGCATTTATTTTGGGCAGCCCTCTTTCTTTTCTAAGAGAAAGAGTTTGTAGTTCTTCAAATCGTCTTGGATGAAACCTACTGTTTGGAAAAAAGAATCTTCTGTAAGTAAACTGGTAGTTTTCTTAAAATAGTAAACAAATTTATCTGGTCTACATTCTCTAAACTATCATATGCCTAGAAAATAAGGCATTAGTAATTCATCATTGGCCACTGTAGAGCACAGACAACTGTTTTCTTTCTAATCAGGACCATATGCAAACATTCCTGAAAGTGCAGTATTATTTTTAACATCTCTTACGCATTTACAGTCAGCATTTGACTCCCTATATACTTTCAGCACAAAATGTTTTTTCCCAACACCTTACATATACCATAATTATTTAAGAAAAGACAAAGTGAGAGCAGCTACAGAAGTAGCAAGGTATTTTCCACAAATAAAAAATACAGCATACAAAAAATGGCAAGTTAGTGGTAATTGGTAGTATGAGTGCTTAATAATATCCCACTTTGGGGTCCAAATTAAGATTTGACAAGTTTGAAGCCTTGTCCTGTGTCCAGCACAGTAGGAAGAAACCAACTCATTTTTAATCTTTTCAAGCACCTAAAACAAGTTTTGCAGATCCAAAAAAGGTTCAGACCGCATAACCAATTTGCCAAATGCACTAGGGGATATGTAATACGAGGAAAGTGTAACATCCAGTGCTTGGCCACGTCGCTTCCCGTTGGCAAATGCAGAGTGTAGTCACTCCACCGTTTTGACACACCATATACTGCTTTCACTGTGCGTCCCTTTTCAGTCCAGCAGATATTATTACTGGAATTGCAGTTATATTCTACCCAGTCTTTTGTAAAGTCACCTAGCTGTGGTGGGTCAGCTTCTTCAATATCTACTGTTTTTATCAACTCTGCTCCTTGTACTGCAATATACTGGTCATTAATTTTCCTCACTTCTTTCACCCAAGGGGTTGAATTTTCGCTGTCTAATACGATAATAAGCCGGGAACAGAAGGAACCATTCTTTTCTCTCCACCATTCTAAAAGTGTGTCAAGGCGTAGTATATCTCCACCTGTGAACAAAAGAAAATTCAATGGAGCAATAATCTCTGTAGCCTCATTAAGACAACTGTCTTAATCGGTTTCTCTTAGAAAATACTCTTGTCTTACATGTATTTTCCTTAAATTCTTAGAATTAAATAAGCAAAAAAATAAAGAATGACACTTTCAAAGTATCTTTTGAAAAGATAGTTTTACAACAGATTTTCAACTTGAGGTTAAAAAAATCCTTATTACATAAAAAGGAATATGCTATTATAAATTAAGAAAACAGTTTTACATAGTTGTATTTAGTGAAAACAACTACACAGGAAAGCTAACATTCTATAGCAGGGGCAGCAACTACAACACATGGGCCAGATCCAGCCCACCACTTCTTTCTGTATGGTCTAAAAGCTAAAAATTGACTTTATATTTTTACATGGTTGAAAGAAAATCAGAATATTTTATGACAGCAAAAATTGTATGCAATTTAAGTTTGATATAATTTTCGTAAAAGTTTATTGGAACTCAACTATATTCATTCATTTACACTCTTTATGGCTGCTATTGCTCTAAAGTGGCAGAGCCAAATTGCTGCAACAGGGATCTAAACCCACAAAGCCAAAAATATCTGGCCCTTTACAGAAAAAGTTTGGCCCGCATTCTATACCATTGTTTCCTTTTCTTCCTCATATGCAGGTACCAGCTAAATGAAAATAAACCCTATTCCTACCTGTACAAAAATGAGTTAAAGAATAGATTTACATTTAAATCAGTTTTATAGCTGAAGAACAACAAGGGATTAAACATATATACCCAGAAAGTTCTAAATAAACTTCTGACTACAGGTTTTTAATCTAGTTCATTGTGAATTTTTTTGTATTAATTTTGATTTTTAAGTATAAACTACATTAAAACGTTCATTTTGATTACTGAGTTTTTTGGCATTCTCTTATGTTCTGTGCCTGAGGCAACTGCCACCCTCACCTCATCTGGCCCTGCCTCAATGGACACTGATATAATCATTCCTATTCTAGGATTCTATCCTAAGGGAAGAACAGACTAGGAACAAGAAATTACATAAAAAGGCCTCCTTCCCACTTGGGAAATGGAAATAAACTATAGCCTAAAACCTTAAGAGTAAATCTTATAATATTTATAAAGAAAATTTACTGATCAGAATATGTCTATATTAGAAAAAGCATGACATTGCATCTACAAAAATTACTGCAGCAGCTATTGCTGGATGTTTCACTTCCAGGTGGTTTTTAAAGTACTCTTCTGAAATTTCTACATTAAGCATAAGTTACTTTTACAATGTACCAGGACAAAACCCAACAACCTAACTACAGAATACATATTTCCCCCAAATCAACTGTCCTCCTGGGTTCACCATTAAAAGTGGGTATCACCAGAGACAGAATCCTTTAGCATTGGGATTCTATCATATTCTGTACGTGTAATTGATTAATACTTTATTAAGTAGCCCACTATAGCTTAAAAACCTGAAAATAAATTTGTTTTATGAATCGATCTAACACTCACACACATTATCTCAGATACACTATTTCAGTACATGGTCTCTACATAATATCAACGTGTTATTCCACTGACACCTCCCCAAAAGGACACTTTTTCAAAAATGGCCAAATGTTAACTCTCCATCATTTCCAGCTCTATTAAATTTCTCTGGAGATTAGAAGATGACACAGATTACAAGAAGTATTATATAAATTCCATCTGCCACAAAACATCATTGCCCAACATGCCATCCACAACTATTTCAATAAACATTCTTTAGCATATTCTACCCTCATTCTCTTATATAAATGCTCTTTAGCTATCAACAAGACACTTTAGGCAGCATTAAAGCTTTCTAAATGATTTCTCTTGTTTTACTCTGCTTTCCCTCTATGAATAGGTTCTATGCTACATTTGGCTTTTGGCCCAGATTCAAAGTACTTACATTTATCTAAAATAACAGCCATCTGATGCATTACAAGTAATGGAGACTGCTTTTTAAAGGCTTTGTTTATTTGTAATAAACAGCTTTATAAATTATCTATACTTTCTCCATTTATTTCTGTCTCTCTTGTAATTACCATAATTGTTTTCTACTCTCAAGCAAAGAGGCAAAAATATTAGGTTCCATATCGTGAGACTCCATAAATATAAGATTACATATTCTAAGTACTGTAAGTAAAGTTATGGGATAAAGGGCAAATATAGATTCTCCTTCCCACAGTCATATTAATATTGGGCCTGTTATTAACTTGCTAACCGAAGTAAAATCCAGTTGTGATGTTTCCTATTTCAAAGGTTGCTAAAAAAAATAAAGACAAAACAAAACACCCTATTAATAAATTAGCAGAACTTAAAATTCCTTGTCACTTAATTTGGAATAAATTAAAGCATTTTCCTCAGAGCAGAGATATTCAATACTATTTGTGAGACAGAATCGGTCCTTGAGGGCTATGTTGAAAGCAGGCGAGGGCATGAACTAACTGAAAAGAATGCTTCTGGGCCTGGTTCAACCTGACTACCCATAAGTATGCCAGATGCCTCAGGCCATGCATGACAGTATGCAGTTGCTGAATTATGGGAAAAAATCTACCTTTGTCAGGGAAGGGAGATCAGTATGCTTTCTCTCTTTTTTAAAATTCTTATAATAAGTTCTCAAAGTTACACAAGAACAAATCTTAGCTAATAGAGCAATTCTATAATGGTCAATTTACTGGTAACATACTGCAAAAAAATTACAAAGATATCATTCTAGAATGTAACTGCTAAGCATTTACCTAAAATATAACTCTATTTTAGAATTCCTAAAGTCTTAAAAAAATTACTAAACAATGAATGAAAATTTAGGAACACTGATTATATATATGTTTATCTTAGCATTTTTTTACTTTTTAAAAAAGCTGATATAAGTATTAGTAAAATGAACATCTAGATTGATTCCCACGGGTATCTTTAAGAAATGCTTAATGAATTTTAAATCACTTGAGAAAAGTACAAACTTTTTGAAAAGTGTTTCTATTAAGTAATAAATCCTTAATGTAAACACACACAGAAAGCTTACTTCTAAAACTACTCTCTTACAATACTTTAACTAGGGATATATGCATGGCCACCAAAAATTAGCCCTGTTTACATTTGATCTGTGTAGAGTTTATTATCATAAGCATTTTAGTGTTTTCAGTAATCAATCCCTGCTTTTAGATCTAAAATTCTACTTCTGTAAAGACTGTTTTAATTGACTAGAGCTTTCTCTTGTATGCTGAGTTGGAATACACAGAATGTTATACTTTAGTATAACCTGAAACTGAAGTAGCCAAAAAGGTTAAAAAGATGCTTTCTACATTGTAATTAAAAAGTTGGGCCGGGCACGGTGGCTCAAGCCTGTAATCCCAGCACTTTGGGAGGCCGAGGCGGGTGGATCACAAGGTTGAGAGATCAAGACCATTCTGGTCAACATGGTGAAACCCCGTCTCTACTAAAGATACAAAAAATTAGCTGGGCATGGCGGCACGTGCCTGTAATCCCAGCTACTCAGGAGGCTGAGGCAGGAGAATTGCTTGAACCCAGGAGGCGGAGGTTGCGGTGAGCCGAGATCGCGCCATTGCACTCCATCCTGGGTAACAAGAGCGAAACTCCGTCTCCAAAAAAAAAAAAAAAAAAAAAAAAAAAAGTTATAGGTTGTGGGGGGGGGGTGTGCAAAAAAAAAAAGTTATAGGTCAAGTAAAATACTTTTAAAACTATATTCAAGTAGCTTTAGTGTTCAATACATCTTTTAGTCTTGTACATTCTAATTTTTTGAAATGGGTGATCCATGCTAACAAAAATACCCACTTAACCAGAACATGCCATTTCTTTATCATCATGGCATTCACCTTTGGAGGCAACATGGTACAGTGGGGGAAAAAATACGCTTTAGGAGTCTGGCAGATCTGGTCCTTAATCATGTTCTATCACACAGTGGTATGATCATAGATAAGTTACATAACAACTTCCAATTTCCATTTGAAGATAAAAGAAGTGATGGTATCTATCTCAAAGCATTTCACATGAAGATTAACAATGTGTATAAGGTACTAAGTACAGTAAGATAAGCTGATGCTTAAAATGTGCTCAGTAAATATTACCTTGTCTTTCTACTAGAAAGCCACTGAGTTATTCAATATTTATTGGCAAAAAAGAAACATTTTAAAAAAAATTTCTCTTTAGAACCAGTTACAAATCTGGCATGAAATTAGTGAGATCACGCCGGTTTAAAATCATCTCTACTTTAACCATTTGTTTCTTTCTGGAGTTCTTAATACTGATATTGGCAACTCTCCCTCTGTCCTTCTATACTACTTCTATTTATCCTTTTCTTCATCCTGAATATTTCCACTTTATTTTATGACTATTTTATTATTTATGTATTCTTAGTTTACAACATCTACACTCTTTTACAGAAAAACATGTAATTAAATCTAAAATAACTATGTCTAATCTAAAATAAGAAAATTACCTTTCTTTTAAAATGATTTATTCAGTGACTTCATCTATTTATCAACTACTTAAGGATCCTCTACTATGTACCGGGCTCTGTTATAGGTCCTAAGCAAATAACATTTAGGTCATTTACTTGACCTATTATCACATGATCTACTATTTAAAATTCTGGTGAGCTTTCTAACATAAATAAAACTACAGATGTGAAGGACTACTGAAATCTGCATCCATAACATTTAAAAACTTAAAAATTACTAGTCAAGGCCAGGCGCAGTGGCTCATGCCTGTAACGTCAGCACTCTGGGAGGCCGAAACGGGTGGATCAGAGGTCAGGAGATAGAGCCCATCCTGGCTAACACAGTGAAACCCTGTCTCTACTAAAAATACAAAAAATTAGTTGGGTGTGGTGGCACACACCTGTAGTCCCAGGTACTCAGGAGGCTGAGACAGTAGAATTACTGGAAACCAGGTGGCAGAGGTTGCAGTGAGCCAAGATCACACCACTGCACTCCAGCCTGGGCAACAGAGCAAGACTCCATCTCAAAACAAACAAACAAAAAACTAGTCAAAGAAGTTTATCAGCTTCTGAAAAATATATTTAGTGTATCTGAAAATATTTTAAGGGAAACCGATTATAAGTCTCAAAGCATTTTTTTCCTTCTAATCACCACAAGACTTAATTCTCAATCTTATCATTAGAGATTACTAAATTAGGCTAAACAGGTATGCTAGAGCAAAGAAAAACAAATTAGAGTCATATATACAGTTTGGTGAACTGAAGTGGAAAACTGAGAATCCTGAAATTTAATGACTATATGAAATACAGATTTCTACAAATATATGTGTATCTTTACAATAGTGAAACTACCAAAGGTGAATTTACCTGCTAGAGCCCACTCTCCTGTGCCATGGGTGTGCCCACTGTAATACAAAATATACGTATCATGTCTGGGTCCATCCACAGTCCGAAGTTCGAGGAAAGCTTTCAGTTTGGAATGCAGAGTATCAAATGACAGTCCACTTGTGGAATAGTCACATCCATAGGTCTCAATCATATGATATGCAAAAAATCTTTGGATAGCATTGAGCATGCCAGTAGACCTCAAATTTAACTCCTGTACATGTTCTGGGGGAAGCAGTGTTGGCTGACCATCAGGACTGAAGCAGGAGAAAAAACAATTATTTTGGTGTTTAAAAAGTATTCATTCTATATTACATTCTCATCTGTCATTTATAACTAATTAAGAATCATAATAGTTGCTGCTAAGTGACAGGATTTTTTTTTTTTTAAAAATCATCCTTTCTAAAATTCCCACAGTACTAAGAATTAAGCTTAGAAAATCAAAACCTGGTTTCTAAATATTATATTTACTATCATTAAAACAATAACCAAATTAAAATTTGGGATAATATCTCCAAATGTAGATAGTATTACTCTTTGTTCCTTATTTCCATTTTCTTACATGATAGATATTGGACATGGCTTTTTAAAAGCAGAATTATACCATTTCAAAAACATCTGGGTGGGGACTATTTAAAAAAACTATTCGTTAAGAATATTGTAACACATAAAATATAAAAGCAATATTTTAATTATTTCTTTTTCTTTTTTTTTTTTTTTGAGACAGTATCTTGCTCTGTGGCCAGGCTGGGGTGCAGTGGTGTGATCTCAGCTCATTGCAACCTCTGCCTCCCGGGTTCAAGAGATGCTCCTGCCTCAGTCTCCCAAGAAGCTGGGACTACAGGCACATGGCACCATGCCCGGCTACTTTTTGCATTTTTTTAGTAGAGATGGGGTTTGATCATATTGGCCAGGCTGGTCTCAAACTCCTGATCTCATGATCCTCCCACCTCGGCCTCCCAAAGTGCTGAGATTAGAGGTGTGAGTCACCGTGCCCGGCCTAGTTATTTTATTTCTGTATTGAAAATAGTCTTTATAAAATTGTGTTCAAATTTTACTAACTTAAGGTACACAAACGGTAGAAGAAATTATCTATTAATAGGCATTTTAAAAGTTATTAAAATTTAGGTCCATTGCCTTATACTACTGAACACTATTAGATTTGCTCTTGGAACAAATATAAAATGGTACTCTAGTAAAGATGATAAAGCAAGTCTTTTAACTAGCTAAAATACCATTAATACTGAGAAAGAAAAAATCATTCTTATCCAGAAAAGGGATTTCTATCAAGAATTTTGAAAACCTTAGATTTTCCTTCATGTATCATCAATACTATTCTACTAACTTTTTTTCATTACAGTAACAAAAGAGAATAAGCAGTACATTAAAAAAATTACAATGGAATAATACCTAACTGTGTATATTACTATTTCCACATATTCTTTCTACAGGATTGTCATTTCTTACTTGATGGGACATTTCCAAATCTGTTTCCTTCAGTTCTTGAACCTTCAACTTTTTATCAAGTCTTTAACAGGAAAGAAAATCTTTCCTACAAATAGGGTATTTGGGGATTTTATGTCAAATACTTGAAATTAGAAAAAATTCTCCCCTCTCCCTAGGAAACTGTGATGAAAACTGTCATCAGAATTCATTTATGGCAAAGAATTATTTTAAAGGTATTTAGCTATAAAATAAAAATCAAGATGTAGCAACATTTTCAGATTTATACAAATGTCACGACCTTTGTGGGTAAAAATTATTTTGGAATAAAACTGCAATTAAATAAACATTTATAAACTTCACTGTCAATCCTCTGAATTCCTAGTATTTGCATGGCATTTTCAGTGTGCATAGTATTTTTATATATATATTTTTTAAGTTCTTCATACTATTCCTGTCAGATGAGCAGAATAGGTATCACTATTTGCATTTTAGATAAAGACAAGACACTGAAGTTCAAAGTAGTTACAATTTGCTGAAGGTAACATAGAACTAGACCTCTAGCCTATCAGCTTCAGTGCACATCCTATTATATTTCACTGTGTTGTTTCATAGGACACTTTCTTAAACAAAATATTCCCTTTAGGGCAAGACCTCTCCTTAGAAAAGTTATTCATGAATACATTCTGGTATCTAGCCAAAATATAAGCTTACTGTATTCATCAAAACATTTCAATTGAACTGAAGATATTATCACTTGGAATAAAGTTTGTTAAAATTTTGGAAGAAATGAAAAAGTTATATTTTGAAAATATAATTTTGAAAAAGAGCTATATTATATTCATATAAATATTAAGAAATGTTATGAAATGAATAGTTAACACTAACTATACTAGATTACTATACCTGCAGAAGTTGGTGGGAATCACAATAGCATATCCAACAGATGTTCCTCCTAAGCAGTTACCCAATTCATGGAAGAGCCCATGAGCCATGGATTCCAATGGCAAAACAATTAGAAACATGCTCAAGAAGATTCCATTTGTTGGCTAAAAGAAATCCAAAACATGTTTACACAGTATGTGTACATATGTGTATATTATTTACATACGTGCACATTGATTTACATTTTTTAACCTATACTTTCAAAAAGGATAAAAGGAACAATTAATGATCTAAAAACAATTTTCACTTAAAGCAGACAGGTATACATGAATGAGCTAACTAGTGCAATAAATACTAAATTTATCTCTCAGTTTCTTGGAAGTTGTGGCAAAACACAGTACATCATTTTTTAAAAAGATTTGTCATAAAACATTCTATCCAAACGAGAAAAAAAAAAAAAAAAAAAAACCCAAACCAAAACCACTCTTTGATGTGACAGAAAAATGCCTGAAAACAGTATCTTGTTAAAACTCACATGCCATTTTTTCAAATAACATATTCATTTACTTTATCAAAAAGGGTACTTTAGAAAGGGCTCATTTTTCCCCATGAAATTATGAAAATAAATTCTTAAGGAAATTAAGGACCCTAAACCTACAAAAACAAATTCCGTTTACATGATACAGTTTACCTTATAAAGCACTGAACTCTCCAGATGTGTAAATTCAGAATTTTAACAGAAGAAAGTATTAAGAACATGTAAGCATTATAAAAGCAGAATGGAAAGTAGAGAGGCAGAATAAAGAGAAGGAGGCAATCAGGTATTAATTGCAATGAAAATGCAGAAAAAATTAAGACTCATTTAAGTGAAAAGAAAATGGAAGAATAGCACTTAGTCTTCAACATATCTTTAGAATATTAAACTATCACATTCTTTCTGTATTGCTACTGCACATATTATATGTGTAGGTGCACAAACATATGCTTTTAAAACTAAGGGGTGGTTCATCTGATAAAAATTTAATAATAGAAAATATATTCCTGCAATAAAAAAAGGATATACTGTCATATTTTGGACACCTATTTTATCAATTATATGAGTAACACAGTACATGCTCAATTTGGAAACACTGGAAAATACAAATAAGTAAAAAAAAATACATGATTAAAATCATTCCAAATACCATTATCTATATGCAGAGCTACTCTGAAATATTCCCAGACTTCATGCAATATGTTTTTCACAAATACATATTCATGTGTACTTTTTTTTTTTTTTTACCAAATGGCATATATAATCTGAACATTTTAATCGAAGCTTGTTAACATAACTCTAAATCACTTGTAAAGACCAAATGGCATTCCTATAATACGTATGAAACTGTAATTAGTTGATCCTATTATTGGTAAATTCCTTACAGTTTGCCATTATATCAAAAGGACTAGAATAAATATCAAGTTCTCTGATTATTAATGAGGTTAAGAACCTTTCACCATGTGGGTATCATCTTTAATGAAGTGTAATATCTTGCCCACTTTTCTATGGGGCTAACCTTTTCTTCATTGATTTGGCTTTGGTTCTGAACATAGTTTAAATGAAAGTCTTCTGTTGGTGATTCTGTGACTACTTTAATGCTGTTTTTTGCTTAACATGAGTTCTTAATTATATAACAGTCACTTTATGCCTTGTTAAATAAATATCTCTCTATCCAACTACTAAGAAGAGATTTTAACACTATCCTCTAAAGTCTTTATTGTTTTGCCTTTCACATTTAAATCTATAATCCAAATTAATTGATTTTGTTTATGATAATGGCCCAATTTTTTCTTCTACAGAAACAATTGCCCAAGCAGCAATTACTGAAAATACCAACCACTCCACATTACAGAGCCACCTTTGTCGTAAGTATTAATGGATCTTTTTTTGGTCTCCGTCTTCTGATCTGTTGTTCTATATTTTATCCTTTCACATGTGTCCTTTGGTCTTCATTTCTTCCATTTTTGGGACTCTAATCAAACAAAGATGAGATCTTCTTACCATATCCTATTTGAGTCTTACCTTTTTCTTCTGTTCAGTATTTTCCATACTTTTCCTTTTTCATGCTTTTTCTTGTATAGCTTATTCTGAACTGTATCTTCCAGTTCACTAATGTTCACTTCAGCTTTGTCTAATGTTATGTTTGCAACATTGAAATAATTTGTTATTTACTGATCTGCCTTGTCACTTTTTAAAGTTTCCAGAGTACTATCATTATGTCCTGATCTCTGCTTTTATTTTTGCAACTTAGCATGATGGTTTTCTCTGTTTGATAGTTCCAATACCTGAAGATTTTTTTCTGTTGTCTGTGGGTTTTGCAGCTTCTTGCTCTTGGCGGGGGGAGGGGGGGTGGGGTGTGTGTGTACCTGGTTAAATGTATGAGCCGAACAGTGAATATAAAAATTATATTATTATTTAGGCCTAGGATAATGATACCTTCTCCTAGAGACAATCGGTTTCTTCCAGGGAATGACAGACATTACAAGTCTACGTATCTTAATCCAGGTTTAACCACTTAATCCCAGGTTGAACTACCAACAGGGCACAAGGGCAGAAAGCAAGCTCATGAGAGAACTATAACACACATGTCTCCACATTCTTCTTTCAGTATGTAAGCATAAAATGAGAGGTAATTTACCAGAGATCTCACTTCTGGAGGCCCTGGGCTTGGCTCTGATTTTTGCTACTCTTGAGGGGACCAAAAGTGCACCTCTGCTTTGAAAACAATTTCCACTATGTACACAAATGCCTGCAGGGCTCAGCAATGAGTCTTTTCATCCCAGAAAGTATGGTGTGTTTTTCCATTTAGTCAAGTCTTCTTTTATAGCCTTCGGTGAGGTTCACAGTAATTTTAAAATAAAAGTTTTATAAGTTTAAAACTTATTTCTAGGCATTTTATGTTTCTGTTCTTATAAATGGAATCAGTCTCAATTCTCTGATTATTGATTTCCAGGCTATTACATTTATATATTTACATATTTTTTCTAGCCCAGTGCTTCTCAATCTTCAGTATGCTTTTACTGTTAGAAAAAAGTATTACAACAGAGCAGTAAACTAAGCAAATTATAAAGTTTAATTGCCAATCAATTTGTAGATGGCTCAAATGAAAAGCCTAATAATTCAAAATCTAATTAAAGTGTTAATTGATATTGATGTTATTCAATACCCTAATGTTGGTTATGCAACACTGATGATGATATTTGATACAGTAGAACTAAATAAGCAGATATTCAGGGGTTTACTGATCACAATTCATAAATAACGGATGACCTGTTACTACATGCTTCTTATATTAAAAAATCTTAGAAGTTGAGAATTTTATGCTGATTGACAGGGTCTTACTCTATCATCCAGGCTGGATTGCAGTGGCATAATCACAATTCACCGTAGTCTCGACCTCTCAGGCTCATGTGATCCCGCCAATTTAGCCTCCCAAGTAGCTGGGTCCACAGGTGCATGCACCACCATGCCCTGCTAATTTTATTTTTGTAGAGACAAGGTCTCCCTATGTTTCCCAGGCTGGTCTCAAACTCCTGGGTTCAAGCAATCCTCCCGCACTGGCCTCCCAAATGGTTGGACTTACAAATGTGAGCCATCATGCCTGGCCCTGTTATACATTTTTAAAAGGCTAATTTATCAAGAAAAAAAATCATTAAGTACTTCTATTAGGTTATTTTGAAAAAGCAAGCTTAGAAAAACAGTATTAAATATTCTATTAAGATCACACACAAGTATTTTGGCAATACAAAAATTCATAATCTTAACTGAACAGATGGCAAGTATGTCCAGGGGAAGCCAAAATAAATTTTGGATGTTTTATCCACTTGCCACTTTCAGAGAGCTTCAATTTTATTGGTCTGCAAACCTTTATTCTATAGCTTCAATCTAGAGCCATGTGTGACTTTGGAGTACTCTTCACACCTTAATTCCTAGTAACAAATAAGATCAATTGATTAAAACCTGTACATACTTTCTCTCCTTTGCTTCTCCAAATTATTCTAAGCTCACTATCAAATTTTAAGACATGGTTCATATCTCAGAGCAGATATAAACTAAGCATAAAAGAAGATCAATAAACAATCTGTCAGTAATGTCCTTTGAATCAAAGTTGTTACCAGTTATTAGATCTCTATTCAACTGGGCTTTCAAGTCATAGTCAAAGTATTTAACATTTCATATCCTAAAATTTTTCAGGTAACAGGAACAAAATTTCTTTATGCAACGCCATTTTAAAAATGTAACGTTTACATAAGAAACATATAAGCCTTGTTTGTTTAGAAGTATTTTTGTATGAGTCACCTTATGCAAACCAGATTTGGAAAACATACATAGAAGTCTAAAGAAAGTAAAGCCCAACTAAGAAACAGCATACATAAATGTGGAAATATATAAATGGAAAGACTGTGAGAAATCTAGCTTTAAGAAACACAGGCAACTTTCAAAACTTTACTTGGTTCAGGAAACTTAAAAACATTATGAAGGCTACTGCATAATTTTAAAATCAAATGACTTGTTTATGTAGAAGTAGAGCATAGTGGAAAGGACCCAAGCTTTGGAGTTAGACTTTGATTCAATTGCAGCTCAGCCACTTACTATATGTACATGAGTAAGTTAATTAACCTTTTGAGTCTTGATTTCTAGAATATATAAATAATATCATGAGCTTATTCTGCAAATTTTCTAGAAATACATATATATGGCAGTATAAAGTTAAATGCTTTCCACGTGACCCAGCAATCTCACATCACATCACATTAAAATAAAAGCTCATATTAACGCAAATAGCAGCTTTACTCATAATTACCAAAAAACTGCAAATAATTTCAGTGTCTCTCAACTGAATAAGGGATAAACTGGAACATGTGTACAATGGGATACTGCTCACAATAAAAGTAACTAACTTACTAACACGTATAATCCTAGCACTTTGGAAGGCCAAGACAGGAGGATTGCTTGAGCCTAGGCAGTCAAGGCTGAAGTGAGCCATGATTATGCCACTGTACTCTAACCTGGACTGCAGAGCAAGACCCTGTCTCAGAAACAAAAGTCAGGCTCAAAAGGCTACAGTATTATGCGATTTTATGAATATGACATTCTGGAAAAGGAAAATTTCTAGGAATGGAAAACAAATCAGGTTGCAAGTACCTGGGGTTAGGAGAACAACTGAAGTGAATGTTTAAATCACAAAGTAAATGGCTAATATACACATGAAAGATGCTCAATATCATTGGTCATTAGAGACATAAATTAAAACCACAGTATCACCCCACGTCTAAATTGAGGGATTAAGTAGATCAACTTTAGGAAGGAACAGAATAGAAGGTGAGAATCTGGAAACTGATTCTCTTAAAATTATCTCTGCTGATAGACTCTTGGAAAGTTTTCATGTATCTCCAGTGGTACACACAGTATCTGAAGACCACTGGCAAAAGAAAAAATTTGGAGACCAAGCAAATAGTAATATTTGGTTAACAGAATTTGATAGCCTGGAATGGTATCCAGCATGAATGAGGCTGACTTGGAAAAGAAAAAGTATTTAGGGCTGGGAAAGGAGCCAGCAGAAGAAGAGAGGCAAGTTAGGGGAAGAAAACTCATGCTCAAGTTTTTTATATCACCATAATTCTGATAGTCCCTAACACCAGCAAGTAAAGCAAAGTAAGGACAATATCTTCAGGCAACACCCAAGATCTTTTCTTCATTTGGTTGACTCCCACATAGGATCCCTACCCTAGCCCAGCTGACTAGAAAGCACCATCTCCAAGCAAGTCTCCACATCCCTCCCTTCAAGACACACTTCTAGAAATCTCTCAGGAGCAACAAACTGTTACAAAGCAAAGAATTCCACCAAGCAGGGCTGACTCTCCTTTTTGCCCCACATCCCAGCCTGATGTACAGAGGATATAGTATTTGTCACACTGTAATCGTAATTTACATGCCAGCCTCTTCCTCCTCCCTTTGGAGACTGTGCCACCTCTGACAGACATCCTGAGATCTTCATACCCAGAATAGTGCCTGGCATATATATAGTGCATAATCAATATATGCTCAATTAATCAAAGACTGGGTTTGTTAATACTGCAGATGCAAACTCCATCTGTACAAATGTCTTTGTCTACAAGAACTGTTTTAAAAAAAATTCTGGGCAGCAAAGGTATGGTGAAACTCAGGTTTTCTTTCTTAGGATAACCTCTAATCTATAATTAAGAACCTGAAATGTTATTATATCTAATCACCTTTTATATAAAATCTTCAGAGAAATGGCTACATAAAAGAAATGTGTTGGCCGGGCGTGGTGGCTCAAGCTTGTAATCCCAGCACTTTGGGAGGCCGAGGCGGGTGGATCACAAGGTCAAGAGATCGAGACCATCCTGGTCAACATGGTGAAACCCCGTCTCTACTAAAAATACAAAAAATTAGCTGGGCATGGTGGTGCGTGCCTGTAATCCCAGCTACTCAGGAGGCTGAGGCAGGAGAATTGCCTGAACCCAGGAGGCGGAGGTTGCAGTGAGCCGAGATCGTGCCATTGCACTCCAGCCTGGGTAACAAGAGCGAAACTCCGTCTCAAAAAAAAAAAAAAAAAAAAAAAAGAAATGTGTTACAGTGAGGAGTCCAGGAAATAGACAGAAGTTAGGTAGGTAACCTTGTTCCTGCTGGTACTAGTGACTCTGGATGCCTTCCTTGGCTTTCAGTTTCCTCATGGGTAAAATGAAAGAATCAAAATACAATCTTTAAATACTTTCCAAATGCTAGTATACTAAGATCTAGTGGGAAATGCTAGTATACTAAGATCTAGTATACCTGCCAAATATCCCCACATCTTTTTAATTGATGAGTGTTTCACTAAGGAACAATTAGGAAGCAGGAGGCATCTCAATGCGGAGTGTTCATAACATTTTGGTACTTCTTTGCTAGAGATCAAATAAATTATCCTTTGAAACACATTCAGTGCTTCAATTCCAATGACAAAATAAAATAAGAGCAAATATGAATAATATCCTTTTTCAGGAACTTGACCTTACAACTTTAATTTCAATTCTTGAAGCCAGCATTTTATTACCTATCTTTGGGATTGATGGACAAACAATAAGCTTACCTGCCAGGAAACTGCTCCCAAAACTGCTGTTGCAAGAAGACTAAAAAACACCAACTGCTCTGAAATCAAGCAAAAATGGCGCATCCCTTTGGATGCCATGATTCTATCAAGGCTATTATTATCTGTCCTGTGGGTAAAATATACTTTATGGCAGTCATTTAATTTGGTATGGAATCCCCAAAGAGTTAAAAGAAAAATAATATGACAAATCATCCAGAAAATTCCAAAAATGGAAAAGCCAGGTATTACAAAATACCAAAGATGAGTGTCTCTAAGTTTAAATGCTGAAAGAATAAAAAATGTGAGCTCAATCATTCCAGCAAAAACGACCGAAAGTCTTCTGCAAATTCTTCCACGGTACAAAAATGGTTTCCATCTTTCAGTTACCGAAAGGCCACTAAAATAAATGTCAAGGAAAGGATCAGTTATCAAGCAAATAAAAAAACATGCAAAAGCAATGGGATTTTTGGGAGTTTCTAATGAGGAAAAAAATAACAAAACTGCAAAAATAAGTAAGTTGGGAATAGCTAAGAAAGATTTCATTCTCAGATCAATAATCAGCATAGCCAGAGCTACAACAAGCAAAATGACACTCAGAGACTTCTCCACCAACATAGTTGTGCTGGCAATGGCAAATCCAACAAGTTCCAGAAATTCAACTGTGGTTAGTAAAGTGGGTCGATGACGGACATAACCAGAAATTCTCTCCACCAGAGAGCACAGTATCCTTAATACTATGGACGTGAGAAGCAAATATTTGGTTGATTCTTCTTTTACATCATTTTTAAAAGATGAATTATCAAGAAAACATAGGAGGCCAAGCAAGAATCCAAACCAAAGATTGGAGAGACTTAAACTTGCTGCTTCCATTGAAAAATAATAATAGAGTATGCTGGCGATTCCAAGAACAAAAAGACCAAGAATAAAAATTACTAAAATTAAGGAATTTGCTGTTTTCTCCCATCTTACGTATAGGCCTAAGCATATAGCAACCAATAAATTGATTCTGGCTAAATAGCCAAGATACCGCACTGACGAATGCATGTTCACTTCTCTATTTACTTCTTCCAGTCTCGTCATTGCTAAATACAGACAATGACTAAAGCAATAACGCAGTGATTTACACATGTAACCAGCAATGTGGGCTTTTCCCCCACGTTACAAAAATTAACCGCTTGTATTTCATCCAGTATATCCAATGTATCCGCAACTCCTATTTCAACATTTTCTCTGGTGGAAATTTTGTTTATAGTGATCTAAAAAGAAAAAAAAAAAATCAGTTAATTTTATGTAATGTACTCATTATTTTATATAGAGATGCATATAAAAAGTAAAAAAATCCAGTTTACACCCTCATTTGCAATAACTTAATGACAATCGTTCCTGGCTTAAAACTTGGCAATTTATCCAAACAGACATGGCTGTGCTTTCTACTCATCATATGCTATGACTGCATGAATAGAATTGTTCTTCCAGAGATGGTGAAGAATTGACCTAATCCATTCTAGTTTAAATACTGGGTTTTTCAACAACAAGGAAAGGTGACATGTTCGCTTTAGCTTAGACTGTAGCAGGTTTTGGTACAACCAAAAGCTACTTAGTTCTTTTTTTTTTTTTTTTTTTTTTTTTGAGACAGAGTTTCGCTCTTGTTACCCAGACTGGAGTGCAATGGCGTGATCTCGGCTCACCGCAACCTCTGCCTCCTGGGTTCAGGCAATTCTCCTGCCTCAGCCTCCTGAGTAGCTGGGATTACAGGCACGTTCCACCATGCCCAGCTAATTTTTTGTATTTTTTAGTAGAGACGGGGTTTCACCATGTTGACCAGGATGGTCTCGATCTCTCGACCTTGTGATCCACCCGCCTCAGCCTCCCAAAGTGCTGGGATTACAGGCTTGAGCCACCGCGCCCGGCTCCGCTACTTAGTTCTTAAAGTGAATGAAGGACTTCATCATTACCTCCAATTTGAAAAGCACTCATATACATTAGTAGTGACAGCAATCATTACGACCTGCCAAATATTCCCACATCTTTTTACAAGGCAGTTCTAGGATGTTAAGAGTGTCTTTACATTATTTAATAAACTTACTAGAATTAAAGTTTAACTATATTAAAGTTACTCAGTCCCTAAAGTTGAGCCATAATTCTCCCTGTACTTTTACCTCTATTAAATTACTTTGATTACTCAATTTGCTTTCCAAATCTAAACACTATCTCTATAGCAAACCAAATCCTACCCAATTCCTAGTCAAAAATGAAAAGCTGAAATGCTCACCTAAATAGTCATTATAAAGTAAATGAAGAACTTTTCAATTCTACTCAAACAAATGTTACTATAATTGTTAGAAGACCCAGGAAATTACTTCAATCTCAAAGCTTCCACAAGTCACACCTAAAAAATGATAGTAGTCAAAAAATGATTTAACCATCTATTATAGAATTCTTCAAAATTTCCTAGTATACTATTTCAAAAGAACTGATCAATGGATCATGATTACACTATCTAAAGAGAACCCAATCAGATATTTAAAAACAAACTAGGGGCAGTCATGGTGGCTCACACTTGTAATCCCAGCATTTTAGGAGGCTGAGGTGGGAGGATCACTTGAGGTCAGAGTTTGAGACCTGGCCAACATGACAAAACCCCTTCTTTTCTAAAAATACTAAAATTAGCTGGGCATGGTGTTGGGCACCTATAATCCCAGCTATTCAAGAGGCTGAGGCAGAAGAATCACTTGAACCTGGGCGGCGAGGTTGCAGTGAGCTGAAATCGCCTGCCACTGCACTCTAGCCTGGGGGATAGAGTGGAACTCTGCCTCCCCCCCAAAAAAAAGAAAAGAAAAGAAAGAAAAAAGTAGTTTGTTATTAGTTTACTTGTACTTTCTTAATAGCTGTACACTAAAAGGCTCAAGAGAAAAATGAGAACCTGGAATCAACTTTTAGTATTCCTCTGGCTAGAGAAGAATGTTACTAAAGCAACCTTAGAGTCTCTTGGAAGTTCAAGTATTATTTCTTATTCTACTTCTGTATGTTCAACAAGCATATTTTTTTTACAAATTTATTTAAGTATTCCAACTGATTTTCCTTAATTCCAACTACATTTTTAGTCACTCATGTCTTAAGGTACCACATAATTTTAAAGAAAATGTCTTCCTTTGGTATATTTTGGTTTATCTTTTTAACTTGAGTGTGAGAAACTGACAAAATCTGAAGTGCGCTAAGGTTTTTTTTTTTTTTTAATTCACCATTGTGTGTTATATAATAATTCAAAAAGTATGTTAGACTATATCCTCAAAGAGCTGATGATACAATCTAGGCTTAGACTACTTAACGCTGCTGGATGGGGGCAAAAAAAAAAAAAAAAATCACACACTAGGTTAAATGGTGCCACTCTAAATTCATGGGACATCCTTCCCTGGTCAACATTCTTTCTCATTCTTGTGACAATTCAAACCTCTATTCCCTCTCCTCAAATCTCTGATACCCTACTTCTTCCAATTGCATTCTCACCAGATGACTCTGCCTCCTTGAGGGTCATTAAAAGGGAGTTCCCTTGAGTTTCCAAGTCCAGAAACCCACCTCTATTTACATCTCCAAATATAAGTAAAGAAAACTGTTGCTTCTCTAAGGCTAAACCTTTCAGTCATATTGTGCATCTGTTTCCTTCTGCTCTTCCAGAACATCAGACTCTCTCCTCTCTCTGAAAACCTCACTTTTCTTTTACCCATTGGTATTTAAACATTTATAAACCTCTTTCTTTAAAAAAAATACCAAAAAAGTAAAGAAACAAAACAAAAACAATCCTTGCTCATCTCATCCCCATATCCTCTAGGAGGCTCAATCTTGCGTCCTTTTGACAGCTGATATTTGGTTGCTTCACTTCTTAACCACTCACTTTTCAAACCACTAAATGGTGTTTCCCACCACATGACTGCTCTGCCAAGTGCTGAAATGACCTGTAAATTCCTAAATCCAGTGGGTACTTTTCACTCAGTATCCTGCATTTTTTTTTTTTTTTTTTTTTTTTTTTTTTTTTTTTTTGAGACAGAGTTTCACCCTTGTTGCCCAGGCTGGAGTGCATTGGTGTGATCTTGGCTCAATGCAACCTCCGCCTCCTGGGGTTCAAACAATTCTGACTCAGCCTCCTGAGTAACTGGGATTACAGGAACGCACTACCATACCAGACTAATTTTGTATTTTTAGTAGAGATGGGGTTTGTCCATATTGGTCAGGCTGGTCTCAAACTCCTGACCTCAGGTGATCCACCCACCTCTGCCTCCCAAAGTGCTAGGATTATAGGCGTGAGTCACCATGCCCAGCCCTATCCTGCATATTCTTTTAACAAACTTACACTGTTGACTTCTCTCACCTTCCAAACCATTCCTTTTCGTGGGCATCCAAAGACTAAGTCTCCAGATTTTTTCCTAATTCATTGGTTTCCCCTCCTCAGTCTCCTTGAAGGCTCTTCATTCTCAATCCATCCTTTGGATGTTCAACCCAACCCTAAGCTTTTCTTTCACTATATACTTTCTCTAAGCAATGTCATTTATTTCTATGTCTTCATTATTCTCTCTCTACTTAACTGCACACAGGTATTGGTCTACCTACAGAAACTGAAGGACCAGTTCTGTTCCGTACTGTTAACAGAAGTAAAAACTTGAAAACAAAGTAAATGTAAACATGTAAAAAATTATATTAGTAAAGTCCAGTGCATCCATATAATGCAATATATGCAGTTACCTTCTTACAGGCCAAAATCAACATGGAAGATAATTGTTTTCAAACAGCTAATTTACAAAAGTCTTTCCTCATCCTGACTTTCTTCAAAAGACAGCCTGAATTAGAGAATAACAGAAAAATATTATAATCCTTTTCAATTGGTTTACCATCACTAATGATTCAATGGAAAATTATTCCAGAGGTAGATTAAAATGGAGCATAGAAGCGTCAGTATGCATATGGGAAAAGTTAACTAATCATTGCCAGAGTCTGATTATTTCATAAAACCCTACATACTACTCTAACCCTCCTCTCTGTCATCATCTACATTTAATCCTCACCAAGTCCTGTGTATTCTTCTTCCTAAACATCTTTTAAGTGTTTCTACTTCTTGTCCCCAGGGTTGCCAACCCAATTTTGGCCACCATCATGTTGAACATCTCCCTGTATCCACTCTCGCCCTTTTCTAAGAAGTGTATTTTTAAAACCAAACTTTTGCACTCCACTATGTAAAATGCTCCAATGGTGTTCCATTACCCTTGGCGATAAAGTCCAGACTCCTTACAATGCCTTATAAGGCACTGCTTGTTGGGCCTGAATAACTCTCCTGCTTTATCTGTTACCACTCTTCCTCTCACACTTTGTTTTCCAACCTTACTGACCTTTCAAATACAAACTGCACAAATGCTAGTCTCTTGTCAGGTGCACTCTTTCCCTCCTCCTGGCCCCACCCCAGTGCTCACATCTGACTTACTCCAACTCTTCTGGTCTCAGGTAAATCATTTTCTTAAGAGATTACCTCTGGCTCCCGTATTACATGACCCCAGTACTTTCTCTGTTACATACCATCACTTATTCAGTGTCTGCCATTTCCCACTAGATCAAAATGTCTCTGAAGGTTTGTCTTCAATACTGTACACCCAGTGACTAGCAAAAATCCGGCATCAAGTAGGTATTCAATAAATCATTGTTGAAAAATAAAGACTAATATAGAAATAACTATGTTTAACAACAGCGGTCGCGATTGGACACTTATTAATACGTAAAGAGAATACAGAACCTGGCTAATATCCCACAGCTAGTAAGTAGCAGAACTAAGGGAGATTCCATGAATGTCTGGTTTCTCTTTCAGCTTTACTCTGTCTTAATTCACTCAAATTCTTCCAAACCAGTTCCCTCTCCACGTCCTACCTCTAGGGAATGGCTTGAGGCATACCGTATCACTTGCATTATCTTTCACTCAAACTTTCTGTTCCATCTAGAAGTGTCAATGCTGAAAGAACTACAGCTAAAAAACAGAGTCGGAGAATATCTGTGCTTCTGTTCAGAGTTACTGATAACTCTTTAGGCCATCTCATACAAGGAAAATGGCATCTCGAATATTAAAGTCCTGGGCAATTGAACAGCCACAGCAATTTCTCTCCCTTTCGGCCTCCTTCTAGTAAGATGTGGTAGGTCCAACAAGGAGCTTGGCTGTTCTCCACCACCCTCTACTTCGGGAGAACGCGACCACAACGTGGCGCCCAGTTTGGGGGAACCCTGGCGAGATACGTAGAGGCGCTCCCACACCTTCCAATCTCCCACCGCCACTGTCAACTCCTCCAGGGGCAGGTATCCTACCCCTGCCCTGGGAGGCCGGCTGGGCGGAGCTCGGGGTCCGGACCATGCGGTGCCCTGGCGGTGTCCGTGCCCAGATCTCGCCGCCCTGCCGTCCACCCATTTCTCCCTACCTGACTTGGCCGTCGCCACCAACGCTCTCCCAACCCTCGGAGTCAGTTCCAAAACCAAACCAAAAAGAAGGAGGGCAGACAAGACTTGAGCTTGCGACTGAGAACACGGAGGCGGCACGCCTTTGGGAACGAGGGCCCGAGGCCACAAGCGCTAATATAGACCAATCTTGGTGGAAACTTTCTCCGTGGCCGGTGCGGCCGCGGCCGCCATGTTTCCGCCGCCGAAATCCGCGACGGTACGGAACGCCGCTGGGGTCAAACTGCGCGGCGCGCGTCCTCACCGAGGCCCGGCCCCTTCCCCGCCCAAACCCGCCGCGCCGCCGCGCACCCAGGTGAGCAAGGCGCTCCCCGAGTGTCAACCGCCCCACCTAAGGCGCCTGCCTTCCTTGAGCCAACGTCGTCTCCTGGGACCTAGAATCAGCGACTGAGAACAGACAGCGGGAAGAGCACCAAAGATCAGGCTGACAGTGCCCATCAAGCATCTAGGCCACCGCCTCGGTCCGGACCGAACGGGGACAGGACAGACCGGCCTGCCGCGCGTGGGCTGTAAATACTGCGGGAGGCGTTGCTGCTTTTTAATATATATGGCATAATATACGGCTTTGTAACCAGCTAAGCCCCAAGCTCCTTAGGTCCGCCGTCAGAGCCTTTCAGTTCCTCAAATGCAGGGACATATCAGGTTTTGCTCAACATTAAATTACCTTAGCCTAGTCCCTGACACATAGTTGGCACTTAAGTATTTGTAAAATAAAAATGTGCAATAGGCTCTACGATCCCTAGTTCTCTCCTCCCACTTATTTTGCATGTATTATCTATACATTTTTCCTATTTTCTGTAGTAGAGTGTGAATTTCCTAATTTTCATAATAGATGTTGGGAGTTGGTGTGGCCATCACATATATAGGATTGAACCACTCTCATATTGAGATTCTGCATACGTAGATGAAAATTTTGAGTTAGATTCTCTCTAGACTCCTAATTCTTAAAGCAATCACTACTCGATTCCCAAATCTGTAACTAGTTCTCTGGGGAACACCAATGTCACATTTCCAACTACCTGCTAGATGTTTCTACTCAAATATGTTGTCATCACTTCCAATTCCACTTGCCTTTAATGGACTTTTACATATATTTATTATGCTCCCCACTTGAATCCCCTTCCTTATTTGGAAAATTCCCCACCTTAGTTAAGAGTCTAATGGCTGCAGCTGAAATGCTGAATGCTTGTTTAACCAATCATGTGTAGTAACTGGAAAGCCGTGAGTCAAAAAAGAGCAGGCACAGAAAGCTATACTCCCAGGTCACCTGTAGGAGTACAGCAAGGTAAGCTTCTGGGGCAGTAGTGAGAATGGTGGCACCTACCATCCAGTGTGAACGTCAGATATGCAGGATGCCTATGCTTGGTGAGGGCCACAACCCCAGAGCCCTTTCCCAATCTGTTCTGTAGCCTGTTAACAGTCTCTGTGTACATTCCTGGGTAGCCTGTGACAGACTGTACTATACCCGTGAGGCAGGGGACTAGGGTCTGGAAGCAAGGACCCTAAGGCCAATTCATGCTGACTTCCTAGAAGTAAATCAAAAGGAAAGCCCCAACTTTCCACATCTAAGTAACAAAAGGAGCTCCCCCCCCCCCACTCCTTCCCACCATCCTTTTCTGCGTGGCAGATGGAAAATTCAAAGTACCTCTGATAGGTTGCTTTCCACAACCAATCAGATGTTTGCATAGGGTGTAACCTTTGTGACTTTCCTTCAGGCTCTGATTGGTTGTTTTCAGCTATCAGACTGTGGGCCACTACTTTATTTGCGTGGGATGTACAGCAACTGGCCAATGGGAAACCTCTAGAGGGTATTTAAACCTCCCAAAAATAGTTTCTGGCCATGTAACCAGCAATCCTTTGAGCTACTTAGAATCCTCTAATAAACTTATTTTCTTCTTAAATTAGCTACAGCTGCATTCTGTTGCTTAGCACTAAGACCAGCTCACTAAATCAGTGCTTTTTCATCATCTTCCACTAACATGGACTTCTGCCTTATGACTTTAAAACCATTTTTGATGCTTATTATCTTGTCTTTATACTTTAGAATACTTCAGTGAGATGTGTATATGTTTGGAAGTTAATCTGCACAGTCCAGGGTGGGTAATTAGCATTTGAAAGACTAATCAAAAATGTTCACTGCGGAGTTGAATGCACAGATGCTTCCAGTATCACCATGTAAATCTGCACTAGATGTACCTTAGTTAGCATAAAGGGTTAGAATTCATTGTGGAAACAACATGTTCAAGATACGTGGCTGGCTAGAATATTGTACAAGCATCTCTTTGCATAACTGTGGGGTAGAAATCTGCTGAGTGTAGCAGACTGACACCCTTCAGAATGGCTGTTAGACTTCTGTTTAATATTTTGCCACAAAGTACTGTTTTTGTGTGTCTGCTTGCTGTTATTTGTGTAGTAGCATTCAGTCTGAGACTTGTTTTAACTGTAGGACACTACCTAGTACCAAGGGAGGAGAAAGATAGATCTGGTTAATCTTAAATTATTGAAGGCTACCAGTATTTACCCAAAAAAAGTGGACAGTTATGAATGACCAAATATTCGTTTTCATCCACTCTATTTCTTGCATTTATTATTTCCCGTTAACTTCTATTGCTTCTACTCTGTTGCAGTATTACCTCAGTAACCTCTATGCTGGTCATTTGGATTTCAGCCTCACCTTAGTCTAATCCATTACACAGGCCCCTGGCTGACACTTAGAGTGCCACACTTTGTCACTTCTGGGATTAAAACCAGTGACTTATACATACTACAGAATAAAGTCCACAGTCTGGCACGTGAGGCCCTCAAAGACCTGATCTAAATTCCGCTTTGCGAGGTGTTCTTTATCTCGAAAGTACAAGTGTCAGGGTCAGTTTCTGACCTCTGGTACATCCACCACCAAACACCTAAATATAAAACAGTCACTTGGGAACCACTGCGGAGACTGGAGATTTCAGGCTGTGGTTAATGATGGCAGTAAAATGATCCTAATCCCTAGAATATCCATTCTTTAACACCTGCTTCTATAAAGACAAGGTCTGTATGCTTCAGGCCAGGAATATCACCTAGAGGAGTTATTCAGACTAGGAACACCTGTTGAAAATATAATCACAATAATAAGTCAAGAAAAGGACAAGGGAGCAGCACCTGTCACAGGAGGTATGGCTGATGCTATCATACATTCCTGTCCTCTGGCAGGGTGTCACAAATAAGTTCTATGTTATTTCTTACGTTCTCTATTGTTTTTCTCCTACTTTTTCTGTTTCTTCAGTTCAGTCCTAGGGCTAAACTAACTCAGATTCTCCATAAAAAATCAGCTGGGCCTCCCTTATTCTGTGTAATAATTTGAGTTTATAATGTACTTTCATCTACATCATATAATCTACACAAAAACCCAGTGATGTAAATGTTTTCATCACCATTTTGCAAATAATGTAACCAAGGTCCAGAGATGCTACACTGTTCTAGGTCCTCATAACTAAGATCAAGGACTTAAATCCAGTCTTTTTGTCTTCTAGTTCTGGGCCATGAAGAGCTGCTTTCTAAATATCAACCCTCCTCTGTGGGGAAACACAAGTTATTTCCTTCTCATTACTATTGTTTCAGCAAGTCGGGAGTTACAGCATTCCTTCTGCACCTTAGAATCGTCTGGCCCAGCCCAGACCAGTTAGAGTTTCTGAAATTAGCCTATTAGCCGTGTGTGTGTGTGTGTGTGTGTGTGTGTGTGTGTGTGTGTGTGTGTGTTTTAAAGCCTCCTTCTCTTCCAACGATGCTATTGTGAAGCACATCTTGAAAACCACTAAGTTATGACCATTATTATTAGTGCAGTGGTTCTGAAATGAGCCTCGGGGTGTGTGTGTGTGTGTGTGTGTGTGTGTGTGTGTGTGTGTGTTTTAAAACCTTTCTCTCTTCGTAATGTGAAGCACAGCTTGAAAACCACTAAGTTATTATCTCTTTTACTGCAGTGGTTCTGAAATTTCCCTGGGGGGTGTGTGTGTGTGTGTTTTTTACCCTTGGGGTGTGTGTGTGTTAAAGCCTTCCTCTCTTCCAATGATTCTAATATAAAGCACAACTTGAAACCACCCAGTTATTACCTCCATTAGTGCAGTGGTTCTTCAAGTAGGGTCCCCTGCCCGACTGCATTAACATCACCTGGGAACTAGTTAGAAATGGAAATTATAAGGCCCTATCCCCAGACTTACTGAATCAGGAACTCTAAGGGTAGAGCTGAGATTTTAGGATTAGGCTCAGATGTGTGTATTAGAAGACACGACAGTATCTTATTGCATTTTATTTTTCTCTCATGTAAAAATGGTCTAGAAGTAGGTGTTCCAGAGGAGATATGGTCCTCCTTAGTGTTAGAGATCCTGATTCCTTCTATTTTGCTGCTCTGCCATTCTCAGGATGTGGCTTCTTCCTCACAGACTAAGATGGCTGCCTAATTTCCAGTTATGACTTCTGAATTCCAGTCAGCAAGTGGGAAATGCATTTCCTTCTGCCCTTACTTTGACACTTCTTGGAAGTTGTATGACACATCAGCTTATATCGCATTGACTAGTATTTATAGTTTGCAAAAGGTGGAGATTTGGGGGCCAGCCATAGCCCACCTGAGATTTAATCAGGGTTCTCTTTCAGAAAAGAAGAATAAATTTTGGATGACAGCAAGCAGTCATTATCAAAGTTAACGAACTGCTTTTTCTCTACCTCCAAAATTCTTGAGTGAGATAAAAAGCATTATTATTGTTTGAACATTTTTGGTTTGCTGTTCTAAGTGATGTTCCTTATTTCATTAGTCTTTTCACTGTATGAATGATGGCAAGTATTTATTCATATGGCTGAAGCATGATTTAGTTACTTTTCCCCTAATTTTGAACATTTGGAATGCTACAATTTTTGCTATTGAAAATACTACACTAGGGCGTATTGCATTTGTGATTGCACTTCTGATTATCACTTTGAAATGTAGATTCCTAGATGGGTTAAAGAATTTGAACATTGTTAAGGCTCTTAATTCATACAGCTGATCTTCTTGCCCAAAGGGAAATATTTTGTGCTCCCATCATAAATTAACTACATTTTCGGCAGCAAAAGATTGTCTTTTAAAACTTTTTGTTAATTTTCTTTTAACATATTAAAAGCAATGCATTACTATCTTCTTGCAACCTAATGTTGCTGCTGAGAAATCTGATATCAATTTGATTTGCAT